TCTCTGAACAAAGGGGGTCAATATCAATCCTCAAGTTTTCCAAAACATCTAGGGCTTCATACAGTGTCTGCAGAATTATTAGGCACGTTGATTTTCTGATCATATTTTTTTTTTCAGGCACATTTTATCAATTCCAAACCACATTAATCTTAATAACTACTATTCATTTTGTATTTAATCATTTACAAGTGATATATAATTGTTTATGAAGGCTGGAAATGAAAAACGCCTTATATTCAGGGTGTGCATAATTAGGCATGTTTTCTTTTACAGATAAAATAAGCCAAAAAAGAGAGGTAAAGAATCCTTAAAAATGACCCCCACTTAATAAGAATCACTAGCTGAAGTGTAGTAGAATACATGATCTTCCAGAATCTGACAGTAACTTTTGGGAGTTAATTTTTAGTCCATCTCTGCAAAACGGACTTCAGGGTAGGAGATGGACTAAAAATTAACTCCCAAAACTTACTGCCAGATTCTGGAAGATGAATTCTTCAAACAGTGGTACAAGAGGATGTGGTGCTGGTCCTTCAAGAGTCACTCTCGATCTGTCTGTCTATAGGGCCTATAAAAAAACAGTCTTCATGTATTTTACCAACTTCAGCTTGTGATTCTTATTAAGAGGGCATCATTTTTTAGGATTCTTTACCTACCCTAAGTCTCTGAGATCCTGACATCTTGCTCTTCTGGAGACTCCAGGTTGCAGTTCTGGAAAATGGCGGCGCTGGAGACTAAATAGTTCCTGATGGTTTCACGCTTAATTCTTCACGTTAATTATTTTACAGCTAACATGCGTCTTTTCTTCTCCACCTGTTTTCCTCTGACCCAATGAGCATTTCACTGTCCAATGGGTCAAGCCTTAACTGCAATTCCTAGTATTGCATCCTTCTCATGGGCATTTAATAATTTGTGACTTTTCAGTCTGAGTTAAATCTCTTTTTTTTGGCTTATTTTATCTGTAAAAGAAAACATGCCTAATAATTATCCATTATTATCCACCTGAATATAAGATGTTTTCATTTCCAGCCTTCATAAACAATTATATCACTTGTATATGATTAAATACAAAATGAATAGTAGATATCAAGATTAATGTGGTTTGGAATTGGTAAAAATGTGTCTGGGGAAAAAAATATGATCAGAAAATCAACGTGTCTAATAATTCTGCACACACTGTATGGTCACATGTGGTTTGGCACTGCAGGACGATCAGCTGTCTTCCTGTAGCAGTGTTAAGCGTCTTAAATTACAGATGATGGCTTTCCTATTGAAGACAAAAGTAGAAACAATTATTTTACTTAATCTGGTTAATGCACAATATGTAAAAAAAAAAAAACAATGCTATTATTGTGTAATACATCAGTAAATGTTGGAATTAACATTAGCCAAGCTTAATAAGTGATGACAAAATGTTTACCTTTACCTTTTGTAAACTACTGCAGTTAGCTGTTGCACACCATTCTGCAGTTGTCAACTGACTAGACAGCTTGACAACAAAAGTAAACTCCTAACTTACTTAATTACAGCCCACAGAACATTTAGAAGAAAAAAAAGGAAATAAAAACTTGCCCCTTTTCACTACGCACGCGTCAAAATGCTAGGTGCATAATATGTAAACAATTACGGTCGGACCAACAGTGCTAGCTTAAATTATGCTGTATCATACTTAAACAGTTAAAGTAGAGAAATACAAATAATCCAATGAAAAAAATAAGTTTTTTACTTACCAGAATCGTGTACCAAATGTGTACACTGTATATTGTTGCTTAGTATCCATTCTTCTCACTGCTGCAATCCAGGCTCGAATTCATATCGAAAATCTAAACGCTTTGATTCTAAAGTTAGTTCCGGGCCTGAGAGAACATCCAACCACTGAACAACATGCTCCTAATTTTAATTTTGACATGTTTTATTCGCATGAATAAGAAAATTATCGCACAATTGCCGTATATAAAGAGTAAATAAAGCGCCTCCCGCCGTTGTTTCGAATGTGCGCGCTAACTAACCGGAAACTTCTGAGGGCCAAACACGTCACTTCCTTCCATCTACAAATAGCCGTTGAAATGGTCTATAAAAACATCTGAAGTGATATGAAATTGCAAAATAACCATTTTATGTATTATATAAAAACGCAAAACAAAAATATACTTGTAAAATTACAAAAAATAGTACAATAAAAAATACCAAAAAATTAGTATGCAGTTTAGAGAAGTATGCCATTTCAGAATTCTAGTATTCCATTCAGAAGATACCATTTTTTCAATTATATTTATAAATGTTTTTATGCTTGATTAAAACGTTGTTTTTAATTTTAGGCGACTTCGTCCTGTTTGGATGAGAAAAAATGGGAAAGACGAGAACACATCCCAGGATACCTCAGCACCACTCCAGCCTCCCTAAGAACAATGAAGCGGCGCAGACTGGAGGACTCAAATGCAAGTGCTCCGCGCGGACACTCCGGCATTACGCCGGGAGCAAATGGATTTGTAACGGCCTCGTCTCTTTTACACTCTGATTTCACATGGTTGGAGTCTCCACGTCCAGCAACCTCCTCTGCCTCTCATGTTTCTGCATCTTGCAAGCCTTCATCCTCAGCTGGGTCTTCCACATGTGCATCAGATCAAACTAGTGATCCGACATATTTAAACGAGCTGCTAGTGACCGGTCGCACCTCTATGCAAAAGACACTAAGCACAAGCAATGGAAGGGAACCGAGGTCCAAAAAGAGCATCTATAGCAAGACCAGATCTAAAGCCTCTAAAAGTACAACATCACACTTCCCTTTACTCGCCACTGAGGATGAAGCTTTACTGCTGGACGCAGGTACAGTTAACCAGGATCCAAACGTTTGGATATTCCTCATCAACCTTTCTATAATGAGTCTTTCTGTTCGTTTATAGCAAAGAGAATGCAAGGACCAGCAAGTTCACCTGTATGTCCGATACCTGAAGATATTGTCGTCATAGAGGATGATGCTGATGATGTTATGGTCCGCTCCGTTCAGATGGCTGAGGATGAGGCGTATGCCAAAAGCCTTCAGGTACGACTCGCTCTGCTGGTCCTTATCGAGCAACAATAGGGAAGTGACTAACTCTGTTGTTCTGGTGTGTGCAGGAACAGTTTGATATGGAGGAGCGGATGGAGCAGCAGAGGCTACAGAGCAGATCGCCAAGTAGAAACAGCCTCAACCATATGGTCAGTTTATTCGTATTGCCGTTTTTCTTCCGAGCGTTGAATGATGGTGCTGTGATCATAGGCAAACAGAAAGTGATGCAGGTTTCATGCAGGTTGATCCGTACGTTGGCTTGGGCTGGATCTCTCCTTGGGCCTCATTGATGAACTCGGCTTCGTTCTCACATGGACACACTGAGCTTTCAGAGCTACAGCAGGCCATCTTTGGAGAACAACCCCGTAAGTCACCATAGATGATCCAGATATATCAGCTCAAATAGAAATCATTTGATTCTGTCCTGATGATTTCATTTGAATTAAAGATTTTAATCATTTATACATATTATATACTGAGAAAAAATAATAATAATTCAGCAGTCATTACTCCAGTCTTCAGTGTCACATGATCCTTCAGAAATCATTCTAATATGCTGATTTGCTGCTCAAGAAACATTTCTTATTATTATCAATGTTGAAAAGAGTAATATTTTTGTGGAAACCGTGATAGATTTTTCAGGATTCTTTGATGAATAGAAAGTTCAAAAGATGCATCTTAAAAAAAAAAGTATTTATTTCTTGATAAAAAAAAAAAGAAGACCTTTGAATGATAGTGTTAGTACGGAGCCCCTAAAGGGACCTTTGCAAAAATAAAAAAATGCACGCGATACTTTCTCGTGAACACGTAAAAGTCGGTATATTTTTATTTTTGCCAAGGTCCCTTTAGGGGCTCCGTATGTACATTTTTTTATTTATGAATGAACACATTTTACATTCAGTTTTATTTAATTTTGGACAGGCAGACAGGGTCGTCGGCAAACCAGCAGAACTCATAATTCCCGGCGCAGACCGGCCGCCCGCTCACAAACGGACTTGTTTGATGACAGCCAGGGAAATAATTATGAGGTTTGAGTTATGCTACTTTACAGAAATCACATGCTTAATTATTGCGTGCTTCCTCATCTTTGATATTGTTCATTGTTTTATAAGGCTCTCTTAGCGTTCGAGGAGCAACAAGGTGCTGTAGTATCCAAGAACACTCTGACTAAGGCCGAGATCGAACGGCTGCCCATAAAAACCTACGATCCCGCACACAGCGCAGGAAAGACAGAGTAAGTCACAGAGCAGGACGCCACAAATGAGATTTCCCATAATGCAATATTGTAATCATACTCTCTTTGCAGCTGCCAGATCTGTTTCAGCGAGTACAAGGCGGGTGAACGACTCAGGATGCTTCCATGTCTCCACGATTACCACGTGAAATGCATCGACCGCTGGCTAAAGGTCTGGCTCGCTTTAACGACACAATCCCATAATTCATTTCAAAGTCATGTTTTGCTAATCATTTTTCCTATTTTCTTACAGGAAAACGCCACCTGTCCCATCTGCAGAGCGGATATATCAGATATCAGTGGTGGTTTTTCTTGAGCGCGCACAACTTCAGGACTCAGTATCTACCTCACAGCTGGTCATGTGACTCCGTTTGTCTTTTAGTCTTATTTTAAGTGTTATTTAACGCTTTTTAAATTAGTAATATTGTCTGGTGTTTGAACCAGCATAAGGCACCGCCAAGCAACTGATTTATTAGAAAGATCCTTCTAAAACATATCAGATATGAAAATCACACCAGTGGCAACAAATCGACACTGTTAGCAATAGCGAAATTCTCATTTGTTGATCTTCAAATAAAATCAATTTCTATACATTTTTGCCTGTTTTTATTGTAACAGTGGTATTTTTTGTAATGTAATTAGGAGAATAAATTATACATGTTGCTATTGCAGTCATACTATTGTTATTGTTCTGTTGTTTATGTAAATGACAGGCACAAGCGCAGCATGAGAGTTTATTCACTCCGTTTCGTAATATCGCTTCTTCAAAGTTCTGTACTTCCGGAGGTAATACAGCGCTTCGAGCTCTTTCACCACAAATTCTCCTCGGCTGATGAGCTCTTTGATCTTCTCTGGGTCTCGCACATCTTTATTCTTGGCAAACGCAGCCCTCAGTCTATCTCTGAAATAGTCGGCTCCTTTCGGATACTCCCGTCCAAGAAACACCAACTTCAAGCAGAAGAATCATAAGACAGGATTATGACTTTCTACTGCCTGGAGTCACAGATGTTTGCAGGCAGTAGAAATACTTAAATATGTTTATTTTCTTAAAATAAAGAAAGGCTGTGACTAGAACGGGGCTAGTTGTCACACTGTTTACAACAATTCATATATTTGAGTGTATAGATATTTTGGAGGTCATTCTGGGTATAGACAAAAGTTGTTTTGCTGACATTTCACTGTAATCGAACTTTTGACTCAAAACCTTGTATTTACTAAGGTTTAAAACCCCTGTGACTTACAATTTTAAACTTAATTTAGTGACACATGTATGTGTACAGTATATTACATATCACACACATGGAATTTAAAAGCAGAAGGGGGCAGTGTACTCACAGTTTTGTACAGTTGCACTACCTCTGCTCGGAGTGGATTGGCCATTTCCCAGTGATAATTCTGATCTCAGCCAAACAACCTGCGTAAACAGCGGACTAGTTGCCTCTCATTCAAGGTTTTTGAAAGGCAGACAATCTCAAGACTGAATACTGATAAGCTTTAAGTTGTAACAATGAAAATAAAAGGTCAAGAGTTGTTTTTAATCTACTTACTTGCTAATGTGTCATATTGCCCTTTGGACGCTTTGAAAACCATAAGCAGGAGTGTTACATCTGCGGTCGTCGAAAAAATGAAGTCAAAATAAAAGTCCTCAAAAGTTTAAATAAAGAATTAATACACTAGCTGGCTACGAATAGAATGTTATTACTACTATTATACGTTAAAAGTATAAGGGTGATATTTACATAACAATATACATTTTATTTACAGACCACAGATATTTTAGGCAAAATAAAAGTCCTCAAAGTAAAAACAAACCTAACGCCTGACATAAAACAATTGTCTACGCATAGCTTTTGTTTTGCTACAGTCATGCTTGTAGTGAAACAGAAAAAAAGAAAGAAAAAAAAACCTATACATGAATGCAGAAATAATTTATTAGGAATAGGAAGACACCTTACAAATGCAGATTCGGTGCACAGTGTACAGGACAATGTTTTTGAGTTAGTCTTTTGCTTTTTATTGCCAAATGCACTGCCAAGATCATATGAAACTGATTCAAAAGAAGTCATGTATTGAAGCACTAGCATTCACACAATCTCCATACACTCCTTTTGAAGCTGCAAAACACCTACAACTCTACTCTTATCCAAAATCACCAATGTCCTTTCATTTTTAGCATGTGGTTTGCACAAATAATCTGGACAACAATTTCAAACGAGTACAATTCAAAAGTGGCAAAATCCACGCTGAGATGTTTCTTCACTATCACATTCATGCTTTTTACATCCTAAGTGCCAAAACGTGTCATTTTTTCCCCCTATAAACTAGTCAGGATATACAAAACACACACCTTGGAGAAAAAACAAAGCGTGTTCTCTTCCTTGCTATTTGATTATAAGGCATATAAATCTTACAAAACACGCTTTATAACCTAATACAAAATTGTGTGCCAATATGACAAATGGAAAAGCAGACTGTGAGCGGTGGTCTGCAGAGTAAAGGCACTAGTAGAAACTTGAGCTACTATCCGTCCTCTGTTTCCGGTCAGTATTGCGGACCGCCGCAGTGGGAGACGCGGGTCCATGGATGTCTTTAATAATTGGCTCGCAGTCGTTTGTTTTCTTCCTTCAGTCTCTCTATCTCCTCCACGAGCGAATCATTCACCGAGTACTTCTCAATCAGACCATGGATTTCATTCTGTAAAAGATAAATGGCACTATTAAAGAGGTGTAATATTAATTTTTACCTTTTAATTTCTTTTTTCTAGCTATTTAATTATGGATTTGGTTGGTAAAAGAAACATGTACCAGCTGAATATAGAACTGGCGAACCATCTCCACCTGTAGATTAATGATGTCTCTATGACTGGTGTCCCTGGAGGAAACAACAAACAGTTTCGAGTTAGTTTAGTCAGTAATATCAAAATGACTAAAGAATGTCTGCTTTAATTAGTGCATATACATACATAGTTTCAATTCATAAATTCAATAAATTTGATGATAATAAGAAATGTTTCTTGAGCAGCAAATCAGTATATCAGAATGATTTCTGAAGGATCATGTGACACTGAAGACTGGAGTAATGATCCTGAAAATTCAGCTTTGCATCACAGGAATAAATGACAAAATATTATATTTAAAAAAATATAAAAATACAAAACAATTATTTTAAATTATGTTTACCCAGTCTGTGACCTCTAAATGACGAATATGTGGTGACTCACCTGAAGTCCTCCAGTGCCTCGTGGATCATGTTACGGACAAAGCTCATCTGAACGGCGGTGAGTGGAGCTCCACGGCCCTCGGCTACAGATACGACTGCTGCAGCTGGAGCTTTAGATCAAAACATCTGTCACACATTGTGTCCCATTGAAATGACTTTTAATCTAATTGTGGCCCATTCAAACATACCGGGTGCAGCTGCAGGAGGAGCTCCGCTGACAGGCGAATCATAGGTGAGCTGGGTGAGCAGATCTCTCCTCTGATTGGCCTCAGGAGTGTTGAGCGGCTGCGTGGACTGAACGCGTGTGCTCTGAGCAGCAGGTGGCGTGGTTATGACATCATACTCCTGGCGGAGGCCGTTATTTTTCTCCACCTGTCAATAATCCAGAGGAAAGTAAGTTGAATTCATGAATACAAAAATGTTTTGGGATGATAATCAAAACGAGTTGGACCTTGGTGCCATTCTGTGCATCAGTCTGTTGTGGTGGGGTAGTGATTGGCTCCTCTTCTTTGATTGGTGGAGGAGTGTGAACCACAGATGGACTGTAGCAGCGACTTCCTGGAGTGCCCAATGGGGTCTTCCTCTGGGACGACCCACCAGGGAAAAGAGGTAGGTATTCAAAGTCTAGTAACACAGAAAGTGCTTATGTTGGTAAAGGTAAATAAAACCATGTTGTTTTGCTCATTACAGTTGATTCAAATGTCGATAGGAAAAACTTGCCTTTCTTTCCACTTGATGCATCACTCAGTCTGTGCCCTTTGTAATCTATAAAGATATGGTTTAATTAGTAAATATGTATATACATGTGTACACACACATACACGATCAATGAAAAGTTTGGGGTCAGTAAGCTCAGTATGTACTTGTATTCATAAAGGACCAATTCAATTGATCAAAAGTGTCATAAAGATTCAATTTCAATATTTCTTATAAATGCTGTTCTAATCAAAGAATCTTTAAAAAAAAAATTATTACAGTTTCCACAAAATATTACGCAGTACAACTGTTTTCAACATTGATGATAATAGGAATGTTTCTTGAGCAGCAAATCAGCATATTAGAATAAATTCTGAAGGATCATGTGACACTGAAGACTGGAGTAATGATGCTGAAAATTCAGCTTCGCACCAGGAATATATGAAATTGTAATCATATTTCCAAATTTTACCGTTTTACTGTATTTTTAATCAATAAATGCAGCCTTGGTGAATTTTTAAACAGTAACAAATCTTGAAAATGCCAACGGTAGTAAGTGTACATTTATTAAATAGAGGCCAAAGCTGTGAAAGACCGGTTGGAAAAGTTCCCTCACCATCTCGTACAGGTGAAAAGATGTCCAAGCTGTTTCTGCCGACTGTGAACCGGTCAGTGCTGTGCTGACCTTCTGCTTCCCTCGAGAACATATCTATACTGCCTCCTACGTGTCGAACAATCATTGAGCCATGTAATCATTGCACGCCACATTCATAATCTCTTGAACTCTGCCATACATGATTGAACATAATAAACAAAGATGAAAAAACTCACCATTTCTTGAAGTTGGAGTATCACCAAAACCATGTGTTTTGAAACCTGCAGAGAGGATGGAAAAGCACAGTATGGACCCATGAAATGAGAAGACAAGGACAATATATGAAAAATGCAAATGAAGCAACATCAGCGATTTTACCATCATTAAGTGGGGAGAAAATATCCAGGCTTAGGCTGTTCCGACCTATGCCGCTAAATTTCTCCACGTTGGGCAGCTGATCTTGACTGTGCTGACCCTCGCCCTCTCGGGAGAACATCTCACCTGCAGGGCCTATAAGAGACGACACCGTTCAGCACCGTTAAAAATCATTACAAAAGCTACAAACAAGGCTTTAATGCCAACTGAGCAAAAATAAAACCTTCTATAGCCATAAAGAGGAAGGTTGACCTGTGACTTGGGCTTGGCCATCTCCAGGAAATTCAAAGCCAGGCACACTTGGTGGGACTGCAGATGTTGGAGTGGAAGGTCCCGTCTGTTGACCGCTCAGTTTGACTGAAATCCGCTTATTTGATTGAGAAGACTTGCTGGATGTTTTAGTGGACTGTGGAAACAGGGCTGGATTTTAAATATGCTCTATAGTCAGAAGTATTCAGAAGTAAACATTATTGAATATAGGGACAATACTGTATTTTCAAGGAAAATGTGTATCTTTTTATTTTTTAAAATAATTAATTAAATCTAATAAATTAAAATTTCGAATGTCTTATAAAACACATGGCATGTTACATACTTTAATCATAATCACAATCATTTATTAAATATTCCTAGAACAGATTTTTAAATCTATATCAGATGTTACAAAAAATTAAAAATAAATCAATTATATTTAAAACATGAATTAACATTTAATTAAATTAATTCGAACTAATTAAATAAAAAAATCTAAATTCATAAAAACACACTGCATGTTACATAATTTAATCAATGAATTAAACATTCTTCATCTGAAAATTTGGAATAATTATTCCTAGGACAGACTGCTTTAAAATTACAAAATATGTTACAAAAAAAGTAAAAAGTCAAATAAAATTTAAGAAATAATTATACATGAATGAAAATGGTATTAAATTAATTAAAACTAATGAAATAAAATTTCTAATTTTATACAAACACACTGCAAGCTACATTACTTCCAAAAATACATAAATCACTAAAACAGCATAAATTACACAAAAATCATCAAAACTACATACATCAATTAAAGTATATTCTCAATCTGAATAATTAATTATTCCTAGAACAGATTAAAAAAATTATATAACAGATTTATAACTATATTATGTTACAAAAATGTGAAATAAATAAATTAATAGATTCATTATAATTCAATTAAATTAGTTCAAACTAATTAAATAAAAAATTTAATTTAATATAAAATGCATGTTACATGCTTAAAATACATCAGATGTCACAAAAAAAGTAAATAAATACAATTTAAGAAATAATTATACATTAATTAAAATGTAATTTTTATCAATTAGTTAAATTAGTTAAAATATATTCTCAATCTGAAAAATTTGATTAATTAATTGTTCCTACAACAGAATTTTTAAAGCTATTTCTTCATAAATAAATAAATAAAAATGTATGTGCGTTATTTTTGTCTTCATTTTTTAAATGTTGTCCCCCATATTCATTCATTTCTGTAATGGTGATACGGAGATAAATCAGTTCAACAAAAACAAACACTACCTCACATGAAACATGAAGGGTGCTTCTGTAGAAATGTGTTTATGTACACATAACGTAGTAGACAGCTGTACCTTTAACTTGGAGGTGGAGTTCTGGAAGCGAATGCAGGTCACTGACGTCTTGTGAGCTGTGGTGATTTTGATTGGCGCGCTGAGGTTTCTCAAATCATACAGGTAGATCCTGCCCTGCGTTGAGCCCACAACCAGTCCAGCCCCATCAGGGGTAAAATCGATGGCTGTGAGTGGAGACTCCACCTGCTTATTACGAAACACCCTGTGGGGATGCGCACACACATTAAATTAACTAAATCAAATTCCAAAATGTCCAAAATGCATACTAAATGTGATGATTTTCTTACATTTTGCTGGAGGTATCATAGCAGATGATCTTCTTATCAAGCCCAACAGTGATGAAGAGCAAATCATTGGCTGGGGAGAAGGCCAACCCTGAACACGGGGCTTTGTGCGCCCCCTCGAACAAGTGCAGCTCCTTTTGAGTGTTAGCGTCCCAGAGTGCCACAGAGCCACTGTCAGATACAGTGCCCAGCAGAGACCTCTTCACCAGCGAGTACCTCAGATCATGGATTGGCTGAAGAGAGATCACATGGTGTATTTTTTATTAGGGCTGCACGATTAATTGAAATAAAACTGAAAACTTATGGCTTGGTGTGATCATGAATTGCAAATGCCGTGATTTAATTAAATAAAAGATGTGGAGATGTGATCTCTGCATCTGCTTTGAGTCTGGGTCGCTTATAACATGCATTTGGAAACATAACATGAACAAACCATCTTCCCCAAACTTGTAATGTGAAGCGTTTATAATCGAGCTGTTACAGAAGCTTTAATGGCACTGTGCGGCTTTCCACCTATATAAAAGCTTTATGGTTTAACGTTTGAAAATGAAAAAATTAAGACAGCCATAAATATTAGTATTTTAATTTAACAATTGTACTGTAAAATAGTAATAATTCTTACTTTGTTTAATATTTCATTTAGTGATGATAATAATAATCATAATAAAAAATATCCATTTTTTCATATTGATATATAATCACTATATAATCACAAAATTTAGGGATAAACTGTGCAGCCCTACAAACAAGCAAAGCAAACCTGGAACTTTATATATATATATATATATATATATATTTAGCCATATACGTCTTTAGCCATACAAAATATTATAAAACATAACATTTTATAATATTTTGTATGGCTAAAGACATCAAACTCACCACATTTGGCCCATGGCCGAAGGGTTTGCTGGACAGGTTGGTTGTGATACTGTGGAGGATGATATCTCCACTAGTGGAGCCTGAAGCTATATAGCTATCGCCTCCATTAAAAGACACACATGTCACTTCCTCCTTGTGGTCCTATACAGAAAGAGACAAGGGAAATGGATTAGGATGTAGATGTCTGTGTAGTAGATGATCTAAACCTTCCCCTGAGTGTCTTTTGTAACTTGCAGTTATGCCTGAAATATGCAAGATATACGACAACAAACGGTTTGCAACAATGCGATACCTTAAGGGTTCGATGCAACCTTTTTGTCTTTAGGTCCCAGATATTAACGCTGTTATCCAGTCCTCCACTGACCAGGAACTGTGACGTGGAGTTCAGACTGACACGGGTTTGTTTTTTCTATAAACAAAAGGCCATTATGAGACACACATAATCTTGATATATTGAAAAACAGTAAGGTATCAAGTTTGTCAGCTCACCCCTTCACCCAGCTCCATCACTGGTACTGGTGACGACTTGAGACTGGAAACCACCAGCTTGTCCCCTATACTGCTGGCACTGACCAGGTACTGATCTGAACACTGTCAAGGCAAAGCGCTTTCATCTATGAAATAATAAGAAAACTAAGTGCTCTGTTATTAATACTTATGCACCATGTTTCTCCAAACATGTTTCTCTTTAGTGTATAAAGACCTAACTATGACTCATTTAAATTGGTATACAATACTATACCAATTTAAAATGTTATTTAAAAAAATAACAAGTTTCTATTGTTACATTAATCTTTCTTTTCTATTAGTACTGTACTGTACTGCACACTTCACTTGGTAAACCAAAGGGAATATCTCTTCTAAAAGATGCTACACACATTGTCATGTCTTAAGCATACTGGCATTACTGTGGGACATGTGAGTGATGCTGAAAAAAGAGTGATTTCACAATGAGAGAGGATACTGCTGCTGCTCCAGCACACTTGAGCCACTGGATGTGTGGCACTGTGAGGGTTGAACTGCTCCACCACCGTCATGGAGGTCGAGTCCCAGATCTTCAGACAGTCACCTGACGACACCAGCCGCGTGACATCCTCCATAGCGACGGCTGCCAGGAGAAAAAAAGATGGGACAGCTGTCAGGTGCTAACACTATCAAGTTTGACTTAAATAATAGATGATTCACTTTAAAAAAAAAAACAGTAAAGGAAAAATAGTTTTAAAATAATCATGAAATCCGACTGTGCTGCACTTTAAAGTGCTGTTAATGCAATTTTGTTACTTTTTATGATTAGCAACAGACTAAAAGATTACACTTTTTTTGTACAGAGTCTGTCATTTATGTAATTTTGTCATTTATGTGACCGGTTTAACAGACAGGCTTTTAGATTAAGCCAGGATTAGGCCTTAGTTTAATTAGGACATTTGAGTAGCTTTTATAAACATGCCTTAGACTAAACATTACAGGTGTGCATCTTGAGACAAAACAACATATTTTAAGATATGTCAGTGCAAGTTGCTTTCAGTTAAAACTACTCAAACATACATTTTAGTCTGGGACTCGAATTAAGCCTTGTCTGTGAAACCAGGGGATGGTGTAATTCTTAGTCGGGTTTATTTTTTATAATCTGAATTGTGCCAAAACTAAGCTTAAAATATCCTCAATGACTCTGACTACATTATATGCAAGTTAGCCAACAAGCATAGCAGCTAGTTCATGTCAATCTTCTTTAACTTTAAAGAATCAGATTCAGTTACATAAAAGTGACTTTAACCGCTAATTCTGACGAGAAACATTTAGAATAACCCCGTTACACTCGTTAAATATATTTTACTCTCCAATTCGCACTTATTTGTTGCTGTTCGTGTTGTTGTGCTAATAGTTTCTGCATTCATCAGCTGATTAGCAACGGCTAGCTACTTACCCTTGGTTTAGACTATAAAAAGTATGGAAAATTTGAACGCTATGCTGGTAAACACTTCACAATACATCCACGGTGATTGAGTAAATGTATCCTTTTATTTGAAAGTAAAACTTTTTCATATCAACAAGAGTTTGAACATCCGTGGCTCCAGTAAGGAACCGCCACTACGGCGCGCCGCTGGGCTCAAAACAGGCAAACATTCGGAATTACACCAACGCCAGTGTGGGGAGAGCAACTAGATGTCATTGCGTTTCTGTGGCAAAGTTTGCTTTAATAAACACGTCTGAGAAGGAATATGCGTTTAAATATTTTTAGGACTCTTAAATAGCAAGTAAACATAGGTTATTTTACTATTTGATTTATATTCATTTCATAGTGAGAACACTGGATATTTAAGCTAGCAGATTGTAATGCAGTTCAGTGCACATTGGGATTTATGTCTATCTTTATTTAGGACAAATAAAGATAGAAATATTCGCTCTTGAGAAGGATCACATACATCAACATTCATAGTGCACATAGGCTATAATATAAAGGATATTTAAGACTTTAATATAGCAGCATATTTATTTAACATCTTGAGATTCATAAAAAAATCATCAAATAAGGAATACAAGGCAGGGTAGATGACTTTGCATAGTGATCATACAGATAAATATACAGGGCTCAGAAGTGCTTGACACATTATTCTTTATCAAATAATCAAAGTTTCTGAATCTCCAAAAGCTTGAAAAGTTCATGTTGTCCAGATGCAGTGCTTTCCCACCGTCATTGTGGCAGAGGTACAAGGACTTTGACGTAGTTCATGGGAAATAAGCCAGACACCCCTCTGATCATACCCTCATACCAGTTCTCGTCAATCTGGTTGGTCAGAATGATGATGTCACCCTCCTTAAAGCCGAGCTCTCCCTGGTTTTCTGTCTGGAAACTGTAAAGTGCCCGACAGCAAGGCTGATCCAAGGGGGGAGCGCTATCATCTAGCACACATCAAGAAAATAAGCTTTATTTATACAGCTTCTGTCTCAAGGTTAAGGTCACTTTAAAGCAAAAATTGAAAACTATTATGCAAGTTTCCTTCTTTATTTATGTTACTATTATATTAATATACTATTATATGTTACTATACTATTATATTATATTAATATATAGCAAATTAAAGTCTAAGAGCACATTGCAAATCAATATTTAAACCTCTAAAAAATGTTAAATAAAGAAGCATTATGTAAACTGAATAAAAAATAGGATTAACTCTTAGTTATTTATAAAATAAAAATATACAAAAGGTTTTTAAATGTTTGGTTTTTTTTAAATACAGTAAAAACAGCAATACTGTGAAATATTATTACAATTTAAATGACTGATTTCTATTTGAACATATTTTAAGCTGTTAAGCTGAATATTCAGGATCATTACTCCAGTCTTCAGTGTCACATGATCCTTCAGAAATCATTCCAATATGCTGATTTGCTGCTCAAGAAACATTTCTTATTATTATCAATGTTGAAACCCGTTTTCAGGATTCTTTGATGAAAAGAAAGTTCAAAAGAACAGCATTTATTTAAAATAGAAATCTTTTGTCACACAATAAATGTCTTAACTGTCACGGTTGATCAATTTAATGCATCCCTGCTGAATAAAAGTATTCATTTCTTTAAAAAAATCTTACTGACTTCAAACTTTTGAGACATTTTGAGACATTTTTTTGGAGGCAAAATGATCTTGCTCACTGTTGCTGGTTGGCATGTCTGTTGTTTGAGGGTTTATGTTGACTTTCTCGGGAGGGTGAACCACAACCGGGGCATCTGTTAAAGTAAAATTGAAAGACATTAGTAGCAAAACTTGCTGGTGTACCTCAAACTACCTATAAAAAAAAGAGTGAGAGTTTGTGTATCACATTTAAAATGACTTGCATTTTGTACTCAAAGCTTCAGTGATCTCAGTATCTGTGGTACATAATACAGTATTTCAACAGTTCATGTTTAACACAATCAAATAACCTATTACCACACCTGATGACTGTCCTGATGAGCAGGCGGAAAGTCCATAAATATCCGTGTAGCACACTGTGCTCCTAACTGATTTAGATGCAAATTCCCTTTTGGGCTGATTGCTTGCATCTGTTATCCTATATACAGGGGACAAATAAGAGGGCATATTAAATGAAACCAAGGTTAGTACAGGGACTCTGACGTCTATGGACTAATCATGATTCTAACCTGCTCTGCAAATTGCTCCTGAGATTTTCTAGAATCTGGGATGACTGGCGGTGGTAGTCTATTACTGCTCCTAAAAGACCTGAGAGGTGTTGCATCCGTTGGACCTAAAACAAAATGTCAAACGATCCATTTAATAATACATCATTCTAAACTGTAAAGGGTCTACTTTTACTTGTGTAATGTCACAATAACTACAAAACGTTGTGCTTTTGTAAAATAAAGAAAACAAACAGGATGAGCTTTTTGCAACAAACTTTGCACACACAAAATTGACGTCACTGTAAATACTTTTGGTCATGGCTGTATTTATACATATACTAACTTACATCTCTCTCTAGGAGATTAAACATGCTTCTCTCAGCCAGTTCTTTGGATTCTTCAAACTTCTCGAGTGCTATCTTCATTTCAGAGTCTGAAATCTTTCCTTTACGTCTCTTTTTGTAATCCAAATCTAGACGGCGGCCTTCAAGTTTTCTCAGATGATACTGACAACCAGAAAAAGAAGGAAAGCTATGGTTATGTCTTCATTCACAACGAAAATGCATACTATTTTCACTTCGAATACATTTAAAGTCACACAATCACAACATTACACTAATGCTTTCATGATGGGGATTAAATGCATCTGCAAAAGGACAGATAATCTGAACATTAGTAAATTGAAGCATACAAATTTATCAACAAAATTATATTTATATTCAGGACTGACCTCAATTTCCTTCAGCTCTCTGTGCTGCAGGGACTGCAGAGGATCAATGAAGGTTCGTTTCACTCGCGCATCCATACTGTCTCTTGCCTGCGCTACTTGTTTCAACGCCTCTCCCATTTCAAACAGAGCATAACCTACAATTGTAGCCAAACTCAAAACTGATATTTTGACATTTTAAAGCAGTAAACAACATCATTGTGCTTTGTTATTGTGCAAACATACCAAAACCAGACTCAGCTCCAAGCTCACTGCCATAGTGCAACATGCAATCTCCCAGAATGCCCTCTGTCTGTGGATAGCCCACAGCCTTCACCTGCCCACGCATTCTGGACACCGTGTTGAGCATGCTGAGCTTTGCTCTGTATGCTTGAAGAACAAAAAAGAAGAATCAGCGACAGACATATAATAAAAGAAAACACTGAATAAACCTTCAAAATAATAACCGTCCTTTAATATTAAATACCTGGGTTTGGCTGAAGATATCCTATAGTTTTTGGAACAAGGTCAAGAATCATTTTGTGGGTAATATCAGTTTTCTACAATAAAGCAATCAATAAAATAGACAAAGAAAAAAAGCGTTTTTATGCATACATTTTTGAATATTTTAAATAAACTATTTTCTTTATTTTGCTGGGATTCATATTATACCCTTTCCATGTTGAGGAATTCCTCATCCAGTTTTGTTCCTTCAACTCCATTGATCTTTTCCTTTAGCAACTGTAAGGATAACCAAAGAGGGGAAAAAAATAATATTACTTATTTGTTGAGTGGGCTTAACAAAAAAGGTTTATGCGGTGAGTTAAGATATGTGATCGGACTCAATTCATCAGATGAACATTTCACTATTTTGACACATAATAGCTTTTCATAACTTCTATGTTATGAAGACTATTATGTGTTTATATAGTCACTAGTTTTTCTGCAATGTCCTTAATATCATGATTAGAGACTATTTCAGCACATAATAGTCTTTATAACATATAAGATGAAATTAAAAGACACTACAGATAGAGTTGGTTTATTACCTTTATAGTTTAATAGCAATCTTTACACTATGATATGATAAAGAGTGGCTGATCTAATAACAACACAATCCAATGTCTACAACATTTCAAAACAAAACCAGGAAATCCGCAAGCTTTGCCGTTTTTAACACATTGTGATGACTGAGCATCTGTTTCCTGCGGTTCATAAGCAAAACTGTTTATGAAGGTCAGTCATTTGGCCAATGAATCCAAAATAATAAGAGAATTCAGATTATCATGAACGAATCGAAAGAATGTGACCTTGGAAAACATACTTTGGTGGCTTGAGTAGACTACCTAGAAACCGTCCCTAATACTGCAAACAAAAACTCCAGGGGTGAATGATCAGGCTTTATTATAAATTCCAGTATATTTTATTATCCACAATGAACTCAATATGAACAAAAACAATAGCAGATAGTTAGTGGACTTTGGATCCAAGATACCAGACAACACCCATGGCTTGTTTCTCACAAGTTTTCATATTAGCACACTCAGTCCTCAAACCTCTGCATTAACAATAATTCAATAACACAAGGTGAGAAGGACATGTTTGATTAAATAAGGTGGGAGAAGCACAGTTCTAGCGTGGAACTACTGAATTTAAACATTTACATTTAATGCCCTTTATATTTTAATATTGTATGTTTCCGTCATGCTTGGTGGTTGTGAACACTAAGACAATTCATCATTAACTGGGCCGTGAGGTCACGCACGCACAGTTAGCTACTACAGCCTAGATGTGATGAACAGAGAAAGATTGCAATGAAGTGAGGAAAAGTCCTATTAATGTTCGAGAATCGGTTCCTTCGAACGCATCTTTTCAAAGAATCGGTTCAAAAACGGTAATTACGTCATCGCATGGTTCAAGGGACAACACATCGTTAATGACATATGTTTTATAATTACGATATCATTTTAAGGGTGTTGTTCATTATACTTTAAAATATATCTCAGGTCAGGTCGTTGCTGCCATGATTCAGTTCAGGAGAAAAAGTTATTTAGGCTTGCATTTTGCATTATTAACTTCTCTAAAACTTTTTGCACGTTTTAATAAAATGCAGCTCTGTTTTTATGTGTCATAAAAGTAAACATAAAATATTTTCGTACGCTCCAGTCCAATGAATCGAGTTGTTCACTCAAGAACCACCGGATCGGATTCAGTCAGACTCGCTTGTGAAGCAGTTCGACTGATTCATTAAATAGAGCCGACTCAAAAGAACAATTGGTTCGCGATTCGGGCATTGCTATTAGGCTACTATACTATTCACGCAGTCAACAAACTCAGAATGTCACACAAGTACTCAAACTCTTTAAAACCGCGATTTAAAGCGCCGTTAACAAAGTCGTCAAGGCTGTATCACTTTTTTTTAATGATTAGATCACTGAAATAAACCTTGTTTGCATCGTCGCACAAAAGCTTTACCTGACTTGCTTTGTGAAACTGTTTCTTCAATCCTGCCACTGACATTCTTATCGGCGTTCGTCCTCAATTGTTTCACATGAACAAACGTGTCGGGATGGTTCAGTCTAGGCTACTATCCGTGAGTCCACATTGTTCTCCACCCTCTTCCGTCCGTCGCAATGTAGCCTGTACTGTGATTTTGCACCTTGGGACATTGCCCAGATTTCATTGGTGGGGCTGTACTGAGATCCTGCAACTATGACAGTCCTAGAGGTCACTCATCGGTTACTGGCATGTCTACTGCAAGAATTTCACTAGAAGGTGATACAGACGACTGTTTTGAAGATGTAGGGCAGTATTAGCCTACATAAAGACTTATATTCTAAAAGTTTCCATAAATAACTAGACTATAGGGAAGAGTTTTCACACTTTTTACTCCAGTACATTTTTCTCAAGATGGCTTTTGTTCAAAGTCAGTTTTGGTTGAAAATAATGGTAACACTTCATAATAAGGTTTCATTTGTTAACATTAGTTTATATGAAATAACCATGAGCAATACATTTGTTTCTGTATTTGTTAATCTTTGTTAACGTTAGTTAATAAAAATACAACTCTTCATTGTTTGTCCATGTTAGTTCACAGTGCATTAAGTAATGTTAACAAATACAACTTTTGATTTTAATAATGTATAAGCAAATGTTGACATTAACAGCATTTATTAATCTTTGTTAAAGTAGTTAATTATTAGTTAATGTTAACTAATGAAACCTTATTGTAAAGTGTTACCAAAATAATTATTAAATTGTATAGATTTATACACTATTCAAAAATATTGTTTAGTCTCTTATGCTCTCCAAGGCTGCATTTATTTGATCAAAAATACAGTAATAAAATAATATTGTAAATATATATATATACACCGGTATATATATTTCAAGATGTCATTTATTCCCATGGTGGCAAAAATGATATTTTAAACAGCAGTCTTCAGTGTCACATGGTCCTTTAGAAATCATTCTAAAATGTTGATTTCATATTATTATCAATGTTGAAAACAGTTTTTTTTTTCTGCTTAATATTTCTGTGAAAACTGTGATGCATACCATTTAAAAGTTTAGGGTAAGCAAAAGAAAAAGAAAAGGGAAAATAAATAAATGCATGCTTTTATTCAGCAAGGATGCATTAAATTGACCAAACAAACGGAAACAAACAAAAGCACAACTATTTTCAACATTGATAAAATAAGTGATAGCTTGCCCCAACCTGACATTTAGGAAAATACCCTTAACACAGTTCAACTGTGTTCAATTGTTTAACAGTTACAGCAAAAATAAGATGACACTGGAATTTGTGCAGATGTATTCATAATGTTTGAAATGAATATTGAATCAATAAACACATGCTGCTGCAGCATTTATGAAAAAGGTTTCAGTCCCTTTCAATAATTCCTAATAAGCAGTGAGAGTTTATCTGGGACTGTTGCCAGCAAAATACAGACTTTTCCATCCAAGCCTTTGCTGCTCTTTATAACCTCCTCTTCATTCCAAATATATTAATCATAAACTCTCTTCGTAATCGGTGTATTTCTTCAGACACTGGATGGCAGGGTCTTGATTGCATCGCATGGCCTCCTGTAATGCGTTGTTACCCCACCTGTGAACACCGGCAGCATAGATTAGTCCTGTTGGCTGGTAAATGCTGTGACGTGTGATAATAGTCATATCCTACACGACTTTCACAAAGTTACCTGTCCTTGAGTGTGCAGTTTGCACCTGCGTTCTCCACCAGGAACTTGATGACTTCCAGACGGCCCTCAGAAGCTGCGACATGCAGCGCTGACCGGCCATCATAATCTACAGCGTTCACATCTGCTCCTGACAGAAGGTACCTATGAAAGAAGAATCAACTCTTGGTTTCAGTATAGTTCACCATTAACAAACTTTATTCAAATATACATTTTTAGCTATATTGACGTGTGTGTGTGTTCCCCCTGCTACTCCATATCATATCTTGGTGATCCTACCTTCGCAGAGACACCATGTCCCCTCTGTAAGCAGCTAATAGTACATTCATGATTTGGTATCCCTGTATTTCAAGAAAGCAATATATTTATTCACCTCCATATCCCCCAACAGTGTCAAGAATTTACATAAATGATTTAAATACAATTCTGTAAGCTAAAAATAAAACTCATTAACCAGACCTCTGACTCCACCTTCCACTGTCTGTAACACAGCACCTGTCTGAAGGGAGTCCTGATGTCAAAACTGTGCAGCTGGAAGGTTGAAACCAGCTCCTTTGACAAAACAGACAATAAATAGTCGCCATTTTCTCAAGACCAGACCCTCTTTTTCAATGGACAATAGGCTTAGTTTGTCAGAGGGCTAGACAGAGGCTGTGGTATTAGGGTGAGAGGCATTATTATACAAAAGAGAATCTGATTGGCCATACATTTACAGGAGGAAATATTAAACAAGATGTTTTGCATTAACAGATAAACATTCTAAAACCTTTTCAGGTAAAATCTCACTAAACAAGCTTACTACATAAAAATGTTGTATATTGATCCAGTACTTTACCTCGCAGAAATGGACACCCCTCCAGGAATTTCCATTGCAGTCCAGGCCAGGTGACCAGCACATGAGTCCCAGAACTCCAGGAACCACGATCAGCACGACACCAGACTGACTGGACTTGGCGGGCACAGACGTCTGTATTGCATGATGATATTGAATGCAAATATATTATCCAACCTAAATTTTGCTTAAAATCCTCAGCAGTTTACCATTGTGAAATATGCAAATGATCCCATAATTTACTCACCCTCAAGCCATCCTAGGTGTATATGACTTTCTTCTTTCAGCCAAACATGATCAGAGTTATAGTTATAAAACTATTATAAATATGGATATTTTATAAATATTTGTAAAAAAAAGTTATAAATATGATATATATAATATAAATATTTTTTGTACAAAAATGCATCGCTTCAGAAGGCCTTTATTAACCCCCTGGAGCCGTATGGATTACTTTTATGATGGATGGATGCGCTTTTTTGGGCTTCAGAAAAATGGTACCATTCACTGCCATCATAAAGCTTGGAAGAGCCCAGATATTATTTAATATAACTCTGTAACTCTTGTGTTTGGCTTAAAGATGAAAGTCATATACACCTAGGATGGCTTGAGGGTGAATATATTGTGAAATAATTTTCATTTTTGTGAGAACTAACCCTTTAAAGTGACAATATAAAGCAATTTGGACTGTCTCCATTAGAGGGCAGTAGGGGAATACATAATTCTTACAGACATTGTTTAATTCATGGACACCTCCACTGATGTTCATTACTGACCATTGTTACCATTATTGCTAATTATGTTCCAGGGTTCGGGCCGTTTTAATTAGTTTAATTAGATGAAAGTGTAAGCATCTTTTAGAGATGTGGGAGTACATTTGAACTGTATTTCGGTGGAAATGAAACTGAGCTGATGCTAAGCCTGCAATATATCACACAAATATGACTCATTATATACCCGTCACAAACTCACCCTGAAATGAAATGTTCTGGAATAATCATTCATTCCAGCCACCTGCATCATGGAAAGTGCACTGCGGACAGCGTGGGGGGACATCACTTGGTCACCTGACAGAGGGCACAGTCCTCCATTAGCTAGGGTTGCGGCCAATGCCGCGCCGGACTCGCAGGTGACTTCTGTCGATAAACACTAAGATATATGCAAAATTAAAATGTAATCATCTAGTCTTCCTTTTCAAGAATATATGTCAATCTGAATACCTGTAACAGTAAATCCAGTGTAGAATTGATCCCCACACCTTCCGGAAAGCACTGGAATGCATGGTTTAGTTATTAAACACAGATGAGTTTTGCCATGTAGAAACAAGATTGATCGTGTGAGGAATTATCCAGGACTTACTTTCTTCTCTTGCAAGTAAAATGAAAGAGCGTGGAGACGGATGATGTCTTTTCGCAAGGTTTGATAACTGCAATGGCAAAGCTGACAGTTGAAATTAACACCAACAAATAAACAGAAAAAATCAATTTCTCATAGAAATACCTGGTGCAGTTTAGGTTTGCATGCTCTTTGTTGCACAGTCTTCTGATGATATTCAAAACCTGCGTGAGAATGGTTTGCTTGAAAGATTGCTTTATGCCTTTTTTTTTATTAAATGTAGCTGGCTGATGTAAAAGTTAAGCTTACAGACTCGTACTTTTCTTCTTCATCAGTGACTTGCCTGGTTGCCAGCTGTTTTAGGACAAAAACAGTCAATACAAATACGTTTTTGTACTTTTATAAACAAGCTACGTTATTACCTGTAATAAAGAAGTGCAGATAATGGCTCCTGTCTCAACCAGCGGACTATGAGGAACACCTGTAAACAAGTTTACTGTAATGAAGCCTAAAAATCTTTGAACTGAACATCAAACTGTTCTCGAATCCAGAACTGGACATAAATCAAGGTAATGGAATATGTGGAATGAACTGAGGGAACTTACCTTGCTTGGTCAGGGTAAATGGAGACTCATATTTGGAATATTCCTCCATTCCAACAAATCTGTGCACGTAGTCGGATCCTTGCTGGTCCACCGCCAGGCTGTATACGAGAGGCCAGGATATCTCTCCCAGAATGCAAGGTTCAGCCCAGTCTCCTAAGGAAAGTCTAGAGTCCAAAAACAACAGCATCTCATTTAAACTTCAACAGGCAAACTGAAGTCATAACTTTAAATTTGAGTATTAAAAAAAAGATGTATTGAAATGGTATATATTTGTTTATATAATATATATTTATATAACAAAATAATATAATTAACTATAGCTGAACTTTCAATTCTTACTTGTAGCTTTGGTCAAGATAAATTCAACCAAGATAATGACGTTTACGAAAAATGAAAATGTTTGTTAAAATACTAATTATATTATTATAATGATTATATATATAATATATATATACTGTATATATTCAATATTGTTCAGAAGTTTTTTAAGGTTGTTAATACGTATTTTATGCTGACCAAAGATGTGTTTATTTGATAAAAAATAAACAGGTTTTTTTTCTATTTTCTTAGATTTTAAAATGTAATTTATTCCTGTGATGCAAAGCTAAATTTTCAGCATCATTACTCCAGTCTTCAGTGTCACATGACTCTTCAGAAATCATTCTAATACCGGTATGCTGATTTTGGTGCTCAAGAAACATTTCTTATTATTATCAATGTTGAAAACAGTTGTGCTGCTTAAAATTAATATAAAACTGCGATATTTTGGGGGGAGTATATATGTGTGTAACATGTATTGGTTTAGTTTCATTGTGTTTTGGATCTGTTTTCCCTGTTCTGGTTTGCCTGTTCCCTAGTTGGTTTCCTTGGTTTTTTAATTAGTTCTACGTAACGCACCTGTTTCTGTTCAGTTGATTACTCTCCCTTCTATTTAAGCCCTGTGTTTCCTTAATTTCTTTGTCCGCTATCGTCAATGTTAATGTGGTTGCGTTTATGTTAAGCGTGGTTATTTCTTGAGCTTCTTCCCTGTGATTCTCCTATGTGTGGAATTTACTATTAAAGACTCCTTTTGTTATCCTTCATGATTGTGCGCTTACTTCAGCCTACACAGCTCCTGACAATATATATATATTCAAATCATTTGAATTGGACTTCTGTGTGATACCTCTGCCCATCCACAGTACAAACTGAAATGCCCCATTTTGTGCTGCTCTCTCTTACGTCTTCTTTCTCCTGTTCATAAATACACAGGATATGAGTCACGTTGTGATATTTTTCATGCAAAAAATCAATTAGAAAATAACCTGTGCACTTTAAGTCTTCGTTGCACACCAGACTGTTATATAAAAAGAACAACAACAGCGGAAACGGATTTGACGCACCTTAACAGGGGACAGTTGTTTGCATTTAATAAACAGCTTTTGTGTTTCCTCTGCAAAGGTAGAGAAATCTGGAATGACAAATCTTCCCTGCAATGCCTTCAGGATGAAAGACACAAAGCCTGTCACGCACCTGCAAGATGTTCAGAAATAAGGCATATTAGCAGCACAAAAGATTAGGGGTGTTTAGAATGTTCTTTGACATGATTTGACTATTGGTCTGTTCTGTCTGGCCTGTGAAAAGTGTTCCTGTCAACAGTTCCATCTGCTTCCTGTAGTTTCCGCATCAGGCTGTAGCAGTCTTTAATCCGCGGGTCTGTTCGGATGATTCCTGAGCTCCACAGGGCCTGTCAATGTACAGACAGATACGACATCCTGCACTTTTGAATATAATACCCAATATTAATGTTGCTTCTCAAGTACCTCAAAAAACTGATTGCAGTTGACTCTTCCCCCAGAGGCGAAACTATCAAAGAGCACATCAGCAGCCCTTTTGGAAAACAATGTGTTGTGTATAGTCAGTCAATATACATATTGTATGGCTAGTAGCATGTTGAGCGAATGCTTTGAGACTCACACTTTTTTCTTAAAATGACCTTGAGGGGTCTCTGGTCGGCCCAAGTGTTGCCATGCTTGGCTAGCTTGAAGTTTGTCCTGCTGTGGTACTGTCCGTTTTGTGCCTCCGTTGCTTATAAAAAATGGCATGCCTAGGGAAAAGAATGGGAATTTTATTAGAGCGGAAAAATGAATCCAGACAGTACTTGCTAGGCAACTATCTGTACAGTAATGTTCAAAAGTGTGTGTGTGTTTTTTTTGTTTTTTTAAAGAAGTCTCTTATGTTCACCAAGGCTGCATTTATTTGATCATATATACAGTAATATTGTGAAATATTATTATAATCTTAAATTACCATTCTCCGTTAGAATATAATTTAAAATGTCAATTTATTCCAGTGATGGAAAGCGGATTTAATCATGATTACTCCAGTCTTCAGTGTCACATGATCCTTCAGAAATCATTCTAATATGCTGATTTCATGCTCAAAAAACATTTCTTATTATTATCAATGTTGAAAACAGTTGTGCTGCTTGATATTTTTTTTGGTTTAAAACCAGGATACATTTTTCTTTCAGGATTATTTGAGGAATAGATGGTCAAAATAACCTTATATGACATTGTAAATGTCTTCACTGTTCCTTGATGTATTCATTCTAAAAGTATTAAAACCTCCCCTTTTGATTGGTAGTGTACATCAAAAATTACGTAAAGAAAAAAATATGGCTTAAATTATATTATATATTATTACATAATATAATACATTTTTATATTTATATAACATTTATATAACCAATTATGCTTTGGTAATATGATGTCATATGTCATTTAAGAAGACATTAGGATATTTGCATGATTAAGACTAAATGTGTGTAAGCCAGCTACTGTGCAGTGGTAAGGCAGCAATTAAATATGTATGGCAGAAGAAATCAATCACAATTTATAATGCAAATAGATGTTTAAATGAAGACCAATCACAATTCAGCATGCAAATATAACAATGGCACCATTGTTTTAAAAAAAATTAAAAATAATAATAATAAAAACGACACTGAAGTTATCTACAAAACAATGTTTGAATGGAGTCCATACGTCAAGCAGTGCATGGCCAATTAATTGCAGATATTTAGTACTAAGGTTAGAAGTGTAGAACAAACACTAACCAGAATGTTTGAGAAATATTAATACACTGCTGCTACATGAGAGCTGTAATAATTACAACAAAAGGAAGCAAGTGTACAAAGGCACATAAAAGCAAAAGCGAATTAACAGGAGGCAGACATGTGTGCCATTGGAGATAAGAGCACATAATGTTTTATTTAGCTTTTTCACCTGTAGAGCCTGGAGAGACGTAATTGACTGGCCTCTGGGATGGAAAGGTATTTCTTGGCACAGAATGTGGAATGTTCCCGGCGGATTTTGTTTCCTAGTAACACAAAAAAACAAACAAAAAAAACATGAATTGAGAGCTTGGCTGCATCGGAAAAATGTACTATATATAGACCATTTTATATTAGCATCAGGCAAACAGTCTGCATTTGAGTTTATGGGCCTAGATGTAATGATGACTTAGCTTATCTAAGCGTTTTACACTTTTTGAAGCCTGATGAAATACATGCAACATAATGCTGGTGCCAGACGTGTCTTTGAAGTCTAACTAATTGCAGGTGTTTAGGTTTGCGAGGAAACATATTGAGACAGATATTACTCTCTCATGTCAGCATGCTAGCTAACAAATTTTAGCCTCAAGCTGTAACAACGTCTACAGGGCAGGGATTTTATTACAGGTGAGGTACATGCTAACTTTCTGCCTTTGTACAGACATGCTACACTAAGCAGCACTGAACATTTGTCTTTAATGTCAAGCACACTGGAATTAAGGGAATATTCTGGGTTCAATACAAGTTAAGCTCATTCCAACACATTTAATAATCTTAAATACCACAAAAAAAAAATTATTTCATCCTTAACTTGAAAAAAAAAAGAAGCAGAAATATGGATTACAGTGGGGCACTTACAATGGAAGTGAATGGGGCCAGTTTGTAAATATTAAAATGCTCACCGTTTCAATATTACAGCCACATGATGTAACCATTAACCAATACCCTTGTGAAAAAGAGGTGCACTTAATTGTATTGAAAGTGCACTTGTAGTGTAGGCAATTTAAGTATACAACTTAAAGAGAGGCACTTTACACTTCTAAAAAACTGCACTTTGTAAAAATGTCAAATTAAAAGCTTTACTTTAAAGTACATTTTAAATCATTGAATAACCTTTTGTTGCGCTTTAAAGTACACTTATTTTGATGTGCTGACTAACATACTAGCACATGTAAAATACTTGATTATAATTTTAACTGTACTGTTTTTTAGTGTTAAACATTTTTAAATGTTCTAATACATCATTACAAATGTGTATTACAAATATATTTAAATACATGACATACACATTTCAATAGAAATGACATTAAGATATATTAGTTTACCTGTACTGTTGAATGTCAGTACATTCAACACTAAAACATATTTCAAATGAGTAATTATGAAATTACATATAAAGATGTACTTATGTCCTTAAGTGGGTTAAAAGCACCTAATCCAGCTAATTTCCGCTAAAAGTCCGGCTAATTACATTTAATATTAATTTAAACTATAATAAAAAAAAAATTAATTGCAATTAAGTGTCTAAAAAATTACATTCAGCTAGCAGTTAAGTTAAACCCTATTTAAATATCTTTAAAGAGCGCAAGTTTAATCATAAGAATTAATCAAAGTGCTTTTATAATATTATGGGCTGCACATTTCTGCTTTTAAAACCCCCCAAAATGGCCCCATTCACTTCCATTGTAAGTACCTCAATAAAAAAATAAAAGTCAAAATATTTTTTTTTAATAATCAACCATTTGAGCTTAACTTTGAACCTGGAATATTTCTTTAAATCAGAACATCTCTTTTGCAAACGTCAGCTGAATGAGTCTCGTTTTAGAAAGCAGTAAAACAGCACATTAGCACAGGTGTATTGAAATGTCCCTGGCCTAAATCTTTGTAATAATGCTGGTCATAGTTTCCACCTCCAGGTTTGTTTTATAGTTGTGTGTGTGGGTGTGGTTATGAGAGCAATACAGGTCTCAGCACGTACCTTAGACGCAGTAAACTTCACAGGGTCTGCGTTCCTGTTTGTGAGGGCATCTGTCATCTCTCCATTTTCTGAATGAGTGGGGGGTAAAAGAATAAGAACCCAGGATAAGAAAAAAATCCTCCTTTGCTGAATCTTGAGAGAGGTTTAAAGATTAAGATTAGTGCTTATTTGTGAGTGCGAGATTTAAAAAGGATTTTCCAAGTTGAAAACCACTAAGCATTGCCTCAGCAAAGAATGTATATGAGGCTATTTTAGAATCTAGGACACCATGTTTCTTGCGAGTTTAAGACATTGTTTGTGTTGTGTTGTCCTCTCAGTCCAAACCCTCAGCAAATCCCACACAATAACTCTCTTTGAAAGCTAAAACATATGAAATCATGGTGCTGTGGATATAGGGAACAGATTTAATTTGTCTATTTTTACTCTCAATCTTCCATCCAAAAGAACAATAAATCGTAAAGGGATAGTTCGCCCAAAAATGAAAAACAAAAACAAAATTCCTTTATGTTGTTCCAAACCTGTATGACTTTCGTTCTTGTGCAAGACACATAAAAAAGATATTTGTATCGATAAAATAAAAGTCAATGGGATACAGTGTTGTTTTGGACCCCATTCACTTTCATTGTACAGACAAAAACACTTAAAACATTGTTCAAAATATCTTTTTCTGTGTTCCGCAGAAGAAAGACATGCAGTCAAAACAGTGATTTACATTTTTTTGTTTCTGAGTGAACTATATGGCTTTAATAAACATACAAATGTACAGGATGGCCACAGCAATTTTAATGTAAAAGATATTTGCAACAACAGCATTTTTGAGGGCTCGTACAGCCATCCTCACCTCAGGAAGTTGATTTGGTGCCCAGCTAGGGTGGTACATGCCAGACGAAGTTATGAGACAGTGCTTCCACCCCTTAGGGTGAAACTAGAAAGTGTGTGTTTCTTTTAAAGGAAACCCACATAACTTAAATATGGTTTACCAAACAATGTCAATGTGCTCCATAATAGTCTAAGGAGTTTTACTCCTTGCCACAAGCCTTTGCTATGAAGGAACATTTTTTTATTGTGAAAATGCTGTAGAAATTAATATAAAAACTCAACTGTTTGTAAAACGGGCTGTATTAATTGCTTGTGTGATTTAAGTAAACAACAAGCTAAGTTTCGGTGCACTTATAAAATCAATTCATTCATTATGAGTCATTAGCTTTCCCGAGGAAAGTTGAGTGATTAAAAAAAAATAAGAAAAAAGCTGCTTGACCAAATTGATGCACCTCTTGATGGAAATAACATCACAAAATTTATTTCCATCAAGGGGTGCATCCATTTTTGGGCAAGATCTTGTATTTACAGTCAAGCACTCTGTAAAGTCTCCTCCAGCACATCCCAAAGACTTTCAATGAATTAAAGTCTGGACTCAGAGGTGCCAATTCATCTGTGAACCTCCCATTCTATTACAATTTGAGTCTGATGAATCTTGACATTGTCATCCTGGAATATGGCTTCTTACATGTTTAAGAAATGAAAAGCTACACACTCCATAGTTAGAAGAACTGTTGCCAAACATATAACATGTTAGAAACATAATAATCACTGCAATAATGATCCAAGCATTGACTCTTAAAGGAGAACTCCGGCGCAAAATGAACCTTTGGTCTAATAAAACATTGGTACCTAGTCAACCGTTCTCTGAGATTTGTTTTCATGATAATCGAATGTAAAGAGTTTTATCTCTAAAAACTGTTTAGCGTATAACGCTAGTAATGGGGGCATATAATAATAAGTAAAAAGAAATCTCTAGTTTATACCACTAACAAAGCTCAAAATAGCCCCACACGAACACAGTAACATAATGAGGGTCTCTACATGCAAAACGAAGCATTGAGAACTTTGTAAGTGTACAGACCGTTTAATAAGAAGATAAAGATAAAGACAGTCCACTTCGTGTATACAGACAGGAGCCATCTTTGGAAAACAGTCTCGACTAATCAAACCACGAACGCCATTCATACAGTTCAGAAGTTCACTGAACTTCATACAGTTCAGCTCACTTAGCACGTCGTTCGTGGTTTGATTAGTCGAGACTGTTTTCCAAAGATGGCTCCTGTCTGTATAAGTCTTTATCTTTATCTTCTTATTAAACGGTCTGTACACTTACAAAGTTCTCAATGCTTCGTTTTGCATGTAGAGACCCTCATTATGTTACTGTGTTAATGTGGGGCTATTTTGAGCCTTGTTAGTGGTATAAACTAGCGATTTCTTTTTACTTATTATATGCCCCCATTACTAGCGTTATACGCTAAACAGGTTTTAGAGATAAAACTCTTTACATTCGATTATCATGAAAACAAATCTCAGAGAACGGTTGACTAGGTACCAATGTTTTATTAGACCAAAGGTTCATTTTGCGCCGGAGTTCTCCTTTAAGTATTTGCCCATTTAAATCCAAACAGCGACTTTTTTTTTGTTTTTTGGGCTGGGCAGAGTCTGCCACATCACTTTTCCCCAGAACACACCCACTGCCGTTGCACATTTTTATGGCCCAGATGTTGACCACAAGCCTTGTTAAATGAAAACATCTGCAGAACCGTCCCATTCATTTGGCCTAGTTTCAGAAGCTCTCTTACACTGATCTTGGAGTTTTCCTGCTAATGTGAGATCAGTGTCGCAGAGTGGTAATACTTGGGATTTGGCAGTGACCCATGATCCATGATAAAAATAAATATAAACACTTTCCCAGAGCTAAAGTGACGCCCACACCCCAGGTCACTGTCAGTGGAAATCACCAAGTTCACAGCATCTAAATGACACGTTACAGTAATTCGTTCTTGTACCTCTTGTCTCGTCCTCCTTATTTGGCTCCAGCAGTTTGTTGCCATCCAGGCCTCCGTATCGCTTTCTCCATTTACGTCTGAGAGACGGTGTTCTCTGAAAACTTGAAAAACTTTTTGTACTATGTGCTCACATGGGTTTCTATAAAAAGCATACGTCTCATTTTGAGTATGGATTTAAAAAAAAGTTAGAAGTGCAAGTGTTTTCTTGACAGCTTGCCTTTGGGCATAGTAAACATAAGTAAACTACATTAATATCTAATTCCCACACAGGATTTTGTGAATATACACGGAAGACCTTGGGATCAAAGCAAGCGTGTCTGTGTAAAGACAAGTCTAGTCACGAAGAGAAACATCTGACACAGTTATCAATTGTCAGCTCAATGTCAAGGCTGTGCCTGAGTGCTTGATGAGAGAATATATTTTGTACTTTATTTGACTTGAATTAGTTAAAGCACTCAGGGCTAAACTGAATAGAAAAGACTCAAACTTTACGCATCTAAAACATAATTTCTGTATTTAAAAACAGTAACAGTTCTTACCACAGATAGGGATTTTCCTCTGCTTCGTGGCTTAAGCTGTTCTCCATGTTGATACTTCTCTTTGTGCTTTGGTAAAGGCAAAATCAACTAGAGTTTTAAGAAATCCAAATGGTGTGTTTGTCTAGCACCTGCAGACAAAGATGAGTCTCTTTGACAGCTGTGCATACAGTCAGACAAAGTGTTTGAGCCGGTCTCAGTGTGAACAGACAGTTTTTAGCTGGATGAAAATAGGAGGAACTAAACTGCATCTTGGAGGAGGGATCTCTGGAAAGGAATACTTTGTAAATAATAGGAGAACAAAATAGACAAGAAACAAAAATACTACTAAACAACAACTACAGAATTATTATTATTATTATTAACAACAATAATAATAATCATCATTATTTGTATTATTATTAAAATCAGCACTACTACTAACCATCATTTAATAATATGCATTATAATATATTTAATATATTATAAGAATTTAACTTTTATATTATTATATTACATTACAGTTTTTCTCGATTGCTTAAACACATTTCTTGAAACTATGCCTCGTATTCTCAAAACAGTAAACACAAATCCATAACGTCTCACCCAATTCCCCAAACATCCTATTTTCAGGTCAAAATGAAGCTCTACACTCAAAACCATTCACTCTTGCTGAAAAACCAAACTCTGCCCTCAGACAGGACACACAAGCCCTCAAAAATACACACACTACAACATAGTCTTACACACTAGTGCAATAAATTCAAAACAACATTTCCAAAACTGGGAAGTCATGTTGCTTGTGGTGGTCCCGCCACCCCACCTCCCTGTGATGATGGAGGCGACGGTGAAGCGACTCAAATTTGGCTGTACTCGTTGCCCAGCCTCCCTCATAGTCATACCATGGACAAGGACATGGCCAACTAAAGTGGCTTGAATTTAATCCGAGACTGCTTGTCTTCTTGCCCTTGCCCTTGCCCTTGCCCTTGCCCTTGCCCTTCCTCCTCCTCTTCCTCTCCCTCCTCCTCCTCCTCCTCCTCCTCTTCTTCATCTCCCTCTCCCTCCTCCTCCTCCTCCTCCTCTCCCTCCTCCTCCTGCTCTTCCTCCTCCTCTCCCTCCTCCTCCTGCTCTTCCTCCTCCTCCTCTTCCTCTCCCTCCTCCTCCTGCTCTTCCTCCTCCTCCTCTTCATCTTCCTCCTCCTCCTCATCCTCTACCTCCTCGACCTATTGCTTAATTTCTCTGTGGATCCATTGTTCCAAAACTCAGTAAACTGATTTGTATCTTTTATAAAAGATTGTATAACCTTTTATCTATCTATTGAAGGATTTGACTGATGTGTGTACAATTTTGACTCTTAGTGTTTTCACCTGGGTAATTGTGTACTAACTGAGCTGAAGCTGAGCTGACTTGAGTGAACAATATTGAATGCTAGTGCTTTCTAAATGACCACGTGGTGTAGGCAATGAGAAATGAAGGGATTTGTGTGTAGAGTTTTGCTGTGACAGTTCAACAAATCTGACTAATGTGTCAAAACAGGGGAATAGTGTTCATAGTTTAGTGAAATGGGTGTGCTTTTTGATAAATGGCATTATGGTTTTGAAATTTTAGTTCAAAAGCCTGGTTATAGTGTTTAAGCAATCGAGAAAAACTGTAATAATGCTAATAAAATCAGCACTACTAATAGTTCTTTATTTAATGATACGTCTATTATTATTACCGATACAAATACTAAAATCACTACAACTAATATCAGTTATTTATTTAATAATAATTTAATAATATTATTATACTTATGTAAATATATTTTATTTTATTTATTTTTATTATTATTACTACTACTACTACTACTACATCTAACACAACAAAAAACTACTACTAGTATTTTATACTACTATATTATGTATGTAATTTATGCCAGCAGATGAAATATCTGCTCAAACACCGCAGCAAAAAAAAAAACTGCACACTGTTCTGCGCATTTAGCGCGCATATTTGACGCTCTAAACGTATATGCATGGTTTGTTGACATGCGCGCGACCTGCAAACTGCTATCATCACAAGAAACTCATGCTGGTCAGTCTCTCACTCAAGATTATGTCTTTTAGCTCATGCATTCCCAAATTCTCGGTTTTGTTCGAATATCTTTTCCCCCACTCGTACACCCCTCAGCATCGTGCAGTCGGACGCGTTTGACGCGGAAACTCACACTTTACTCGCAATACAACACGATGCCTAAAAAGGACAAGACGGTAGGGCTCATTACAACTACATGAATATGAATGTATTTTGTAGTGATTACAAGCCAAAATTTGATTACAAATGGCTCTTGGCCTTAATATGAGTCAAGTGTTGACTTTAATTTTGTCTTTACGTAGTACAATGATTGACTGACTGCCAATTAAAGAGATTGATCTTGTAACAAGTTAAAACGGTATTCCCATTTAGAGCAAAAGCAACCCCAAACCACCAGAGACACCTCCAGGCCCCGTAACTAAAGTTAAAGACGGGACAATTACAATAGCAATACATGCTAAACCCGGGGCCAAACAAAACGCAATCACAGGTAGAGTATCGTAAATATATGAATAAAGAAATAGCTCTTATCTATGAGGAGTCCATGCACCACAGCCGTTGTTTTTGTGGCAGATGTGTCCGAGGAGGCGGTGGGTGTCGCCATTGCTGCTCCTCCGACAGACGGAGAGGCCAACGCGGAACTGGTGCGATATTTATCCAAAGTCCTGGAGCTGAAGAAGAGTCAAGTATCATTAGATAAGGTCAGCATAGTGTATTTAAATGTGTTCTTCCCAATATGCAGAATGAGACATTATTAATTATTAATATGGTTTTTAACTGCATCATAGGGCTCCAAATCCAGAGAAAAGGTTATCAAGGTGACTGCAGCTGTCAGCCAGGAGGAAATCCTGAAGAAACTGAGGACAGAGGCTAGTGGCTGACATACTGAAATGGATTGTTTGCTTTAAAGGGATAGTTCACCCAAAAATGAAAATTCTGTCATCATTTACTCACCCTCATGTTGTCCCAAAACTGTATGAATTTCTTTCTTCTGCTGAACACAAAAGATATTCTGAAGAATGTCAATAACCAAACAGTTGATGGGCCTCATTAACTTCCATATTATGGAAAAAACACTATGGAAGTCAATGGCTCATCAACTGTTTGAATACCCATATTCTTCTAAATATCTTCTTTAAATGATGACAGAATTAATTTTTAGGTAAGCTATCCCTTTAAACCACATATTCCGGCATATCCTTATTCCAAGAAGAAGAAAAAAACAGTCACATTTTCTACATGTCACCGTGCAATATTATATTTAGCCTAGGTTTTTGTTCAATAAAATTAAATGTTATTTTTGTGTATTTACCATTTTTAATTATTTTGTGTGTAATAAGGATGCTATTGCTGGGAATGTTGAATGCAGTTAAAACATGTTTGTAAGGATAGGGAAATGATGATCTTATTTTTATAATAGTATATACATAACAAAAAGACTCAGAAATAATCATTTTTGGTAACACTTTACAATAAGGTTCATTAGTTAACATTAGTTAACTATCTTAGTTAGCATTAACTAATAATGAACAATACTTCTACAGCATTTATTAATCTTAGTTCATATTAATTTCAACAATACATTATTAAAATCAAAGGTTGTATTTGTTAACATTAGTTAATACACTGTGAAGTGTGAACTAACATGAACAAACAATGAACAGCTTTATTTTTATTAACTAACGTTAACAAAGATTAACTAATACAATAACAAATGCATTGATCATTGTTAGTTCATGCTAGTTAATGCATTAACTAATGTAAACTAATGAACCTTATTGTAAAGTGTTACCGAATTATTTTTACTAGTTCAAGTTTTAGCTACTTGCCCTGCAACATCACCCTTGCACAAACAAAAAGGATACATTTTATTTTTAACAACATATTTTATGTCTTTTATGTCACAAAGTATATTTTTCCATTTAATATTTAAAATCCATAAGAAATTCATGGAGGTTTTGCACATTGCAGTGGATATTTCTTTAATGGCATTAAAGTTCAGGACAATTATCCAGCTCCTGCCTTTTTTTAAAGACCACAGCTGCGCCTGAAGCCCTCCACCAGTGACAAATGTGTTCATTAAGAAGAAACCTAATGAGTATAGTTATCAGACATTCGCTAAGAGCCCTTCAATGAATATTAAAGCTGCTTAGAGTCTTAATTTATGAATTTAAATCCTATGTGGTATCATTTTGGAGATCAAGAATGTGTTCCTAGTCATTTTCAACAGCATATATCATACAAAAGCGTCACACACAAACATATCAGTGCAATTCAAACTCTTTCTGCATCTCACATCATCTGTGAGCTTCACGCATGCATGAAAAGCAAGCAAAGATTTGTGATGTAAAATTAGAAATTAGACATGGTTTTGATTACAAAGTGAAGATGCAAACACTCTATTTTTCTTTTACTAAGTGACATTTGAGGCATCCCTCTATTAGAGGAGCCAGGAGGACTGAAACATGTTTACATTTAATCACGCAGCCGTAGCTCTGCATCCTCCTACATTCATTATTCTTGCAATATAACCTCTCCATAAATGGAAATCTCTGGTTACTTGCCTGTTTCCCAGAGCTCGGTCTGTAATAAACCGATATTGCATATTAGGCCTTATGAAATGTAAACAAATGAATTTTCATCTATAAATGTTATGACTTGTTCAATTAAAAATTAGTTGTCAGAAATATCCTTACACTTGTTATACAATAAAATAACACATAGAAGTAGGTCTTGCATTAAAATGTTTGTTTGTTTTGTGAATAACTAGAAAGGGTTACTGAGAGCTGAAATAATAAATTCTGTTTATCAGCTAAAATCAGTGATGGGTAAGTTACTCTAAAAAAGTCATTAATAAATAACATCTTCAACATTGTAATTAGATTACTGTACTAATTACTCTTTCTAAAAAGTATTACATTACTTTTACTAATTACTTTCTAAATCCCATATCAACTTTGAGCAGTTTACCAATACAAGTATAGACATGAAACTGCAATTTTAATTCTTTCAAATAAATAGTATAAAATTGTAAAAAATATTTTTTATGTGACCAGAGTATTTAAAGGAGGAGGGTTACATTAAAAACATACATTTTATCATTAGACATTCAATTTTGATGTTGAATCCACTATTGTTTTTCTATTTCTATTTTCCATTCTAATTTTTCTAGTCTACACAGTATTTAATGCAATTACACCAGAAGTAACTAATTAAATTACAGAAAAATGAAGAGTAATTTTCAAGAGAAATGTTACTAATTACTTAGTGATGCATCAACACTGGCTATAATTCACCACTGTTAGTGTTACAATTAAATGATGGTAAGATTTATGTTTTATATTCTTAATGTTTTAGGGATGTACACACTTAAAATCCCATGTGAACCTGTAAAACATTGAAAATATAATTAATATGTACTTTACTATATTTGAAAAAATAAATATAGACTTTATATTTCACTTTATTTCTATAAAAAAGACTTTATTTTTCATAAAAAAGTTTTATTACATTTAAAAATGCAAATAGAAACATATTGTCTGGTCATCTCAGACTTTTGGGTCCCACATGTATCTTAGATTGCATTTTGATTTATGTAACCTTAAAATCATGAGAACTCCACAGGTTGTTTCGTTTTCGATCTTTAGATTTACTACAAGTGACTCAATGATTTTTTCTTACTTGTACAACTAGGCTTGATTAAACCAATGTATGCTGTCATTACCACAGTCATGAAGACATATGTTGTTATTACGAGACTGTGTGAATGATTTATGCCCTGTGGATGGTGAAATCCTAGTAGTAATTGAGGAGAAAAGTCTCTTTCAGAGCTAAATGAAGAAGAGTGGGAGGGAGGACACACTGGCCCTTCGTCTACTAAAGTCATATTTCACGAAGCTGCTTTTCTGAAAGCCATAGAGCCACACAATATGTCATGGTTCAAACACTGTTTAATGGGATGAGTATTTATTAAAGTCATTGTGTGACATATGTTAATTGCAGGATTACTTCATTCAACTGCTGCCCTCAGCTATTAAATGTGGCTTTTCATGTAAATCTCTCTGAGTCACTGAAATGAAGAATTCATATGCAAGATCTCATCCTTGACTTCAAATACGGCCCTCCGCTGGAAGTGCAAAAATACATTCAAAAATAAATACCTTAGCCAAACTAAATTTTACTTACAGCTACATTGTAGATTTACATATAAATCAAAGTCTCATGAATATTAGTTTTGTTATGATGATGTGGAAGCAGGATCCACTTGCAGCACAATTTATTGAATAAACTCAAACTACATAAAGACTCTGGCTAGGGCAAAAGACTCAGGAACAGAACCACCAACATCAATGCTACAACAACAAGAACTCACAAAGACTGGACTGAAACACAGGGCTTAAATACAGAGCCAAACAAGCTAAACAAGATAACAAGGGGGCGTGGTATAACGGGAAACACCTGGGAAGACTAATAGACAGACAGGGAACCACTAAACATGACAAGACAAACCCACACCGTGACAAGTTTAATCTTTCTTTGCAGATTAATACTGGTGATGTATGGTGATATACTAAACCAGATTTATCTCTTCTGCTAGCAACATCATATTTCAGATCAGCCTATAGCAATGAAACCCCTCAAGCCCTTAAGACTTACACATTGATGTATTGAACTGAGACCATTGTACATCTATAAGATCAGTTTAATAATGAATGTTATATTTGTAATTACCCAAGAGGACCCACACCAAACAGATGTGACAATACCACTTCTATTCTCAGGCGACATCCTACTTTTATTGTTTATGATGACGTTACTCTAATATAAAAATGAATCCAAAAGGTTTATGGAGTAAAAGCTATGATCTGCAAATCATTTTATTTAACGCACTTCGAATAAATGTTTACAGAATGAACATTTTGATCATTCATCATGAATGGGACATGATCATTCATTTGATGTTTTCAGTGTTTAAGAAAGATATCAAGCAGAGACAGAAGAAACCATTTATTATTATTATTTCCATCCATCCATCTTCCAAAACATTTCTCCTATAGGGTTGTGAGTACATTTTATTTTATTTTTAACCAAACCACTTGCCCTACTGTGGATTTATTGATTTCTTTTTCATTTTCTGATATCACATACATTTGAAAGGTTGGACTCCAAGATTTCTCCTTGTAACACCAAAGATTTGAATACTGAATAAGCAAATATGTAAATATTGGAATCATTGAACAATTGCTAATTTAAATATACGTCAGAATACTTGAAATATTTTTTAAAGATTAACACATGCAAATATGTGGCAAAATAAATATGCTTATTTCATATATCAAACTTAATGAATGGTGTGATTCAGGTAAATGAGGTGTAAATACACAAAGGGAATGCATAAATGGTTTGAAGTTGGTTAAAAAACATATAGGGTTAATGCGCTTAAAGAAATATTAATACAAACCAATTGAACATGAAACTTTTGGGAATTCCTTGTCTTTTTGAGCAAAGTACAGGAAAATATTCTCAAATTTCAACCCCAATCAAGCAGTTTTCAATGCATCATTCAATCATTGTTGTTCTGTATTAGAGCAGATTTCCCTCCCTGCTATCAGCATTTTAATTAAGTATGCTTTTTTTTGGTAATACACTATAACAAGCAGCAGCTGTGCCCATGTGAACGTGTACATCCCGAGCACATGATGATATTCACTGGTGATATGGGAGTGGAGGATGAATCAAGAGGAGATAATGAGGCCTGGTCTCTCCCACACAGGAAAAGAGAGACCTCTACAGGGATTCATCTTCAAAGAATGGGTATGTGCTCTCGTTCTCACGCACACAAACTCATATCCTTACATAGTTACTTGGGCCCTTGTAATTAAACACTTTCTTGCCTGGATACACGCAACATTAAATTATGCTTAAACTGACATAACAAACAGATTTTGATC